CCTTTCCAATGCTCACCCTCAGTGGGGACACAGAGAGATCCACCATCAAGTCACAGCCAACAGTTACTGGAACACCTTGTCCTTGTTAGCACATTACCGTTAACAGACTCAAGCTGTTACAACTAACAGGAGATAACTAGTCACTCATACCACATGGGACCAACACCGGCCGTTGACTGAGGAGTGGAGAGTCACGCTGACATGCCTGGGGCTTCTAGTAAGAAATTTGGAAGGTGCCCCAGAGGGTCTGCTCTTGCAGCCAGTATAATCCTGTAGTCTGTCTGCACAGAGCAGCCCCTGCCTCATTGGATATGGTGTTGGTAACACAGTTGATGGTCAAGTGTGCTGGTGACCTCAGAAACCTCCCGCAGACTCATGGTGTCCTGAGTTTATCTGCTCTTGCAGACTCAACAGCACTGCTCATCTCTGAGCTTATCAATTCTCGGGAGGCTTTCACCAGCTATCTCTCAGCACACACTTCTCTCTTCAGCCTGCTGCTCTCCGGGAACAACTTCTCCACCCACCCTGACAGTACCCATCCACAGGGGAGGGACCTTTACAAAATAAGAGCTCAGCCCTGAGCAGTACAGTACCTTGAGACAGGTACCATCCACTGGACAGATGCAGATGAGGCTATGGTGGAATACCTCCTCCCTCTCAGGCTAAGGGCACAGAAAGGCTCATGCATTCGTTAATAATCGTCTTGATGCTACGAGGCATAGCCAAAGCCATGAAGCTGTTAAGGCAGGGAGGCACACGAGCTGAGCCATGGGCTCCCTGCTCACAGACAGAACAAGGCACCAGCATTGCTGGAGCACGCATCCACACCGACGTGCCAAGCATTTCCCCACACCTCAATATGGCATTTGGCAAACCAGCCCAGCTCGCCTCAGACTGGTCCAGGGAGGAGGCCCTGAGGAACAGGGCTGCCGAAGGGCAAGCCCTGACACAAGGGCAAGCCTTGATGGTGGCTCCTCTTGAATCCTTGCTCCGCACGCTCCCATCCAGCTGCCTTAACTCAGTTTGGTAGGGGGGGCATTTCTTTTCAAGAGGCCCCAGGAGAATGCAGGAGCTGTTTCCCTGGGTGAGGATGACCCTCTGTCCACAGTGGAGGAATCAGAGCATCCTTAGGAGATCTCAAGGCAGCGGTATACAGCTCAACAAGTGAGCCCTTCAGCCACAGTGCCATGAAACTTGCTGCCATCTCAGCAATGTTCAGAGCTAGACCAGAACACCAAGGCCTCACGCTCGGAGCCAAATCACAAGGCTTGGGAAGGAGGGGTAGGCTGTCCCATATCTCTTGTAGGAACTGCTGTCACCTCCCCCTTTAAAGCCAGTGATGGGAGCAAAGGGCACACACTGGTCCATGGCTTGAGCTCAGCCTGTCCCAGTCCCTCCATCGCCTACTGTGCCGTGGAGCCAGCACTCCCTGGAGTGCATCAAAGGCACCAGTAGTCCCCTGGGGTGTACCAAGTGAGATCCACATGATGGAGCCATTCCTGTGAGGCCGCAGGGGAAGGTTGCTTCCACACTGTGCTGGAGTATTTTTCCAGCAAGCAACCAAGGACCAAGCCCAGTGTGCTTTCTTCACCCCTTTCCTCTTCTTCCCTGCACCCATCACAGGCCCCGTGGGAACCCAGGCTCCTTTTGGGGGCACATTTCCTGCAACTGGGGCAAAGCAGCACTTCCCCAGGGTCAGTGCCATGAGCACGGGGCTGCCCCACGGCAGGGAAGGAGGCAGCCATGGGGCCCTGGAGCCCTTAGCAGGCTGGGAGGTGCAGGAGCACCCTAGGCCCAGCATCCCTGTGGGACCAGTTTGGCCCGTTGGTGCATGGTTCCACCATGGGACCCTCCTGGTCCTTCACTGGCACCAGGAAGTCAGAGGCTGTGGTCCCATGTGGCAACCCATGCCTTGGGATGTGACCTCCACAGTCGCTCCCATTCCCTCCTGGATCCCCTCACCAGGTCCCTCCTGCCTGGAATGTTGTCCCCAGTCTCTTCAAGGTGTGTCCGGGAGACACCAGGGTGTCCCCTTTATCCCACAATAAAGTCAGTCCTAGTCAGTCTGGAAGGGTTTTGGTTGGAGAGGAGCCACAAGGATCCAGGTCATGGGAGGTGGCTCCTGGCGTCAGTGGGTGACTAGTTTTAGGGTGCACATGGGTCACAATTGTCCCCTGTAGCCTTCAGGCAGAGCAGTGGTGGTGCAACCATTTTTGGATGTGACTGGATCCCAGATGATGCTCAGCCTCTTCCCAGCTGTCTAGGTGGAGCAGGACTCCTGGGAATCCCACTCTGGAGGCCACAGAGCCCCACTCAAGCCCTGACCTAACCCCCGCTAGAGCAAAGCGCAAACCCTCTGAGTTCCCAGCACATATCTCTGCTGGGAGGGTTCCCACCTTCACCCTAAACCTAACCCCAAAGATTACCCTCACCCCAGTGTAAACTTCTTGTAACTCTAGATCTAACTAGACCTCATTTTTCTGTCCGAAACACTTCTCCAGCATCACAGCATTGCCTTAACTGTAGCATCAAAAGTGTCCCTAGTCTGAAAGGTTGGGCAATATCAAAAGACTTTCCCTGGCTCCCAAAGTCACCCGACCACCAATGGTTATAGATCAGGCAAGTCCTAGCCTTACCCCAACCCTAAACAAAGCCCTAAACCTAATCCTGAACCTTACTCATAACCCCAGACTTGGCTCCCACCCTACGCCCAATGCCCAGGCCCATCCACCGGCGTAGCCCCAGCCCTGCTCCGACTGCGCGGCTGCCACGTGCTGTCAGAACCTGCACCTCAGCCCAGACTCTGACCCGCATCCCCTCCTGTCCCCAGCACGGAGCTGGTACCCAGCCCCAGCCAGCACCCGCTGCTCCCCCACGCAGGAGCATCCTGCCAGACCCCAATGCTTCCCGGAGCACCGACCCCGGCTGCGATTCCCCAAACCCACATGGAACAAACCACTGATGGAGCTTTGGTCCTCCTTTAAACATCCCCATCCCTCCTTGTCCTCCCTGAGCTGCAGTTCTGCCAAACACTCCAGCCTGGCTTTCTTTTCAAAAGTACTGTATTATTTTTCAGCCACTTTTGGGAGGGGAAGGGGTGTCGAGTCCTTCAGCTTCTATTCAAGGTGCCAGTGTAAACAGAAATATTTTGAACCACAACAAGAAAAAATAAGCTATGCCCACACATTAGTGTACAGCAGCTGTAGTGAGGAGCTCATAGTGATGGGCTGGGAGCTTCTACGGAGATAAATTTCCATCAGCTCTCTGCAAAGGTTGAGTTTGGGGGAGTTTCAGAGTCACACGTGAAACCAGACAATTAAATCCATTGTTGAACAGAGATTGCTGCCCCATGTGAGAAACTGCTGTCTAAATACAACCTAAAATGACAGATGGATGGAGACCTACGGAGCAACAAAAAGGAGCAACTGCAAAGCTAAATTCTCTGTGCCCTGATTTTTTTGCCAGACAATATTGTCACAATTCAGGGAAAACAAGCATCTCTGTAATCATCAGTGTGTATTTTTTGTTTTCTCCAGAATAAAAGTCACGGACTTGCAGCTGATTGCAGGTAGTCCAAACAAGAGGAGCTGTGACACCAGATCCATCTGCCCCCAACACTAAAAAATCCTGGTATAGCTCATTCCTGTCTTCTTTCTGTCCTGCTGTTCTCCAGCGTTACCCGCCTTCCTTCCCTACCTGTCTGCCCTAGTTTTCTACACCAGTACTCCTCTGGGCACCAGTTCTCCTCCCATCACGTCCTGTACCAGCTTCCTACCTGCCTGCCCTCTTCTCGGCACCCTTCAACTGCATTTCCTCGGAAGTAAGATCTAAACTGTGAACATGAAAATTGACATTTCAAGCCAAGAGATTATAAGTTACATGATCTCAGAAGACAGATGAAAGACAAAAAATGTTGCGTGCAAAATTCACAGACACCTCTTTTGCTGCCCCTTTGCCTTTGACTTCCCCTTCCACACACAGTGACTCTTTACCCTCCGTCATGCTGGCTGTGGCTCGGTGCGCTGGACCGGCCCACCTGAAGCAGAGCTGTCAGGATGGCTGCCCAGAGCATCCCTCCCTATGCCATTGTTTCACCCAGGGACAACCCAGCCCATGGGAATTACTGTGTAAGGGGCTGCCGGGCCATGTCCAGCAGAGTAAATGGAAAGAAAATGAACAGAAAATATTTGCTGATAACTGTCATTCTGCCAGATCAGCTGGAAGTGTACATTAGCATGTAACTAGCAGTGACATCCAATGCCTGAGCAGTAGGAGCAAACCAAACCAGACATTTCTCAGCCAAAGATCATGAAAAGACACCATCATCTGTAAAATACATTAGAAGGTCTACTGACTGAATATTAACTCAAGGAAAATTAAAGTTTATAATCCTCATAGTATATTGTTCCCTCTTACTACACCAGCCATACATTTTGGGGTTGATACAGTGTTTTCTGTCTATAAAATGAGCAGTTTGAAACCTGGGTTCAGACAAAGAAGAAAGCTGTGATTCATTCTAAACATGGCAGGCCAGGGTGTCTTTGCAACGATGCTTCTGTTGCTTTAGGTCCACGAGACCTTTCCCTCTGCACAAGCCTGTGATACAACAACACAGGGTAAATGGGATCCCAAAGCACCCACTGCACAAAGTTGAACTGCAGTTTCCATCCTCGCCGCCCTGCTAACAGTCCCCATCCACTTCTGTCTCAGGCCGCTCTCCTCCCTGTCTGCGCAGGGGGTCTCAGCCCCAGGCTACTGCTCCCCCCATCCCTGTAAGCAGCCCCGCAGACCCCCACCAGCGCCCAGAAGATGCCTGAAGGTACACCAGACAGGGTCTACTTTGGACCTCTGAGTCCCATCCGCCGAGGACGGCACAAGCTGCCAGGCACCTGCCTGCTGCTCCCCAGTCTGCACCAGTTCGCTGTCCCAGTGCACAGGGCTGGTGGTCATTTAGAGGGGAGAGATTGTCCTCCCCGGGCAGGGACACCACGAAGCCACCGTGCAGCCCCCGCCTGCACTGCCACCCAGAGTGCTGCTAACCCTGAGCCCTGAGCTCACGCACAGCTCCGGGGACAGAAATCTCGTGCCTCAAACCCCTGGGAAGAAAGCAGGCTACAGCACACACCAGCGGCTTTCCAGCTCGGACCCAGAGCACGCTCCCCTTCCACACTGCTGCCTACACAAGCGTGCATGCACAGCCACCGCGCGAGCAGGCGGGTTTCTTGGTTGCCATCTGGCAACAAACCCACGTGTGGAAAGCCTTTCTGCTGGCAACCTGCAAACACATCTCCTGCTGTGGGTCTGCCTACACCAGGACAGTTGGGCACGTCTACTGGTAGCAAAGATGCTCCCGCAGGCATTCATACTCCTTTCGCTTCTCCGCTCCTCCAAAGCGGGACAGAGGACTCATTTTGGCTGGGGAAAGGTTGCCCAGTTTTGTCCACAGAAGGCAGTGCAGAGGGCCTGGCCCAGGCTTGCTAGATGCCAACATCCAGGTTTAGGAATGAGACGCTGCTGTACAACTCTGATGAGACCGAGCTGCTCTCCAGGGTGCGGGTCCGACCAGGCAGTGGGGATGGAGCATGATCCTCTGTTGAATCCTCACTCTCTGGGGTTCTAAGAAAGTAAAAAAAAGAGAGATGCTATTTGCAAACTGCTGCTATCACCCGCTTCGCGCCCAAATGGCCTCTAGCAGTGACCCCGAAGATTTGCCATCTCTTTGAACAGTCCTGAAAGGAATGTGAAGACAGACGAGGAACAGTAGTGGAGATGACCGCAGAAAACCCATTTCACACAGGACAGTCCATGTTTGCTGAAGGAATCACCAGCTCTACAAGAAGACCGAAGGCTGCCGAGCATGCCCTGCTTCAGACCTCAGGGGAGAAAAATACCTCCTGCGTTATGTGCCATGATCGTGGGCCCAGATCATGGGACGCAAGGCCCTTTTGCCCCCATTCTTTAATCACAGGGAAGGGCACGAGCTCAAATTCTGAGCCTCTGTGGGACTATCCTATCTCACAGCCAAAAAGCAGATGTACAGACACAGCTGGCAGTCACACACACAGACACATGAGCACGTGCGATAGGCAAAAAATGCACAGAAATGCAGACAACACCAAAGGTGAATAAAATTTGGAGGAGGCTAGTGATGGGGCTGAAAATGGAGCAAGCATCCGTGTGTGATCCTGAGAGGCTGGAGCAGCAGCAGGACAAGAGCTGTGTAGGTATGCACAGAGAAAGATGTGTGCAATGGAGGAGTTCTGATGCAGGGCAGATTTGAGTAAAGGAGAGAGCATGGCACAGGCTGGGGAGGAAAAAAGGAGAACAGGGAGCTCCAAGGGACAGAAAAGCTGGCATGTTTCAGCTGGTGGAAGGCATTAACGCAGGAAGTGAAGGATTTTAGCTGGGGAGTTCATGACTGGAAGTGGTGGAAGCAACAGGAAAGATGGGCAGGAAGATCAGCAGGATCTGTCCGTCACTTGCCAGCAGCGCGGTGAGTGTTGCCGCAGGCGGGCTTTGCCCCGGTGCAGCGAGGTGCCCTCCAGCAGCACCGCGCCCTGTGGGGACTTACGGCACGGTGTTGAACTTCCTGCGCAAAAGGTAGTCGATGACATCGGGGTCTGTCTGAAATAGCCTCCTTAGGATGTCACATTGCATTTCTGGAGAGACCTGGGAGGGATACACAGACACACTCGCTCATGGCATCTCCTCCTCTCTGGAGGAGGACGAGCAGAGGCAGCCAAGGACAGCAAAAGGACTCTGGGTCAATACGTGCTTACAGACCCACCATGTTTGTGTCATATCCACACACCTCCCAGGGGTCTGAGCAGGATCTCAGCCCCTGCTTTTCCTGTGCTAACCCGGGTCCTTTGGCTCCCTGCAGACCTGGCAATTGCTACAAGGCTTTTTGGGGACCTGAAATGTCACATTCCCATAGACCTGTAGGAAATGGACATTTCTGGTATTTCTTGGGAATTTCCCAGGTCCACTCCTAAAACCAGGGCCAGGAAGACTGCTCAGTGTATGCTCTTGCCAATCCAGGGGATTTCTGCCAGGGTTTCAAAACAGTTGCACAACCTCCACTGGGTTGTCCCTAAGGAGAACAGCCACTTCAGCTATGTGACCGCCTGGCACTCACCTGCATCGTGTCCCTTGGGGACTGCTTCAGAGTGCCTGAGACCACACGAAGCACCCATGGTGCTCGAGCCAGTGCCTTGCTGCACATCCTCAGGGGCTCTCCCACTCAACCACCGTACTCGCCTCTGAGCAACCCTGCCTGTGCTCGGGTACCACATTGCACCACTCTCCTTCTCCACCAGCATCTCCCACACTGGCAAAGGGAAGCATGGAGCCTGGAGAGGGGTCCCCAGTCTGTCATGCCTCCCTGGCACTCGCGCTGCAGCAGGGCAGAGTGGAGAGAGCAACAGCCAAGGCTTGAGGTCCACCTGGACAACCACGCAGAGCAGGATTTGGCCAGGAGAAGATGCAAGAGGCTCCTACTGCTGCCTGCAGGTGCCCTCCAGGGAAGGGTGGAGAGAGGATGGAGCCAGACTCTTCCTAGAGGTGGCTGGGCACAGGCCGAGGTGCAGCAGGGATGAGCTGCAGCAGGGACAATTCTGACAAGGAGAGAATTCTTGCCCTGAGGGTGGTGCAGCCCTGGGACAGGACCCAGAGAGGTCAGAGCTCTCCTTCCCTGGAAGTATGTAAACCCCAGCTGGGTGCAGCCCTGATCTAGCTTTGAAGTGAGCCCTCATCTGGTTGGTCTGGAGGCCCCAGAGCTCTTGTCCCATATGAACCTTTACATAAGTCTAAAAGATGCTTTGGGGAACCCCAGGTTGATGTGTCACCTAGGACAGGATGAGCACTCCTTGCCTCACACTGATGGTCCAAGTCATCCACTGAAGAGCAGATCTGAAGTGATCCCATTCTTCACTGCCATCATCAGCTCTCCCCACTGTTATAGCCTCCCCACATCTGCCTGAGGCTGTGGCATCTCCACTCCATGCCATCACCTTCCAGCTCCTTCCCTCTTCTAAGGTCTCCCATTTTTCCCTCTTCTTTCCCCCCTTCACTGGAACTTTGGGGCAGAAACAGTACTGAGGTGCCACTCCTGCAGTTGCTGTTGGCCAGTCGTTTCTCATCCAAAACAAGCTCAGTCAGATGTCACCAGGGTGGAAAGCGACAGAGAAGATGGGACTGGTTCATGGCATGACCCTCAGCTCTGCCATATGCCAGTAACAAACCATCCCAAATTAATATTTACACCTGCCATGAGGAATGAATCACATTTTCACAAGCTGACTCGAGTCACCTGCTGCTAAGTGGGGCTGTGAATACATCCTTCCTTCTGCTGCCATTAGAAGAGTTCAGAGGGGAAGGAAAAGTCTAGAGAAGCTGCCCTGAGAAAGCCTCACCTACCATGAACAAGGTCTGGTAGTGCTCAATCAACCTCTGGAGCACCAGTATGATGGCAGCACTATCTTCAAAGTTCATGGCACCACCATCTTTTTCTCCAGGCTTCTCTTTCTGAAGGATGTTGGGACCAAAGATTGTGGCCAAGTTTGAAACTGTCATTTTATTCCCAGGAATCTAGCAAGCAAGCACAAAAGGAAATTGCAGATTATAGATGCACTGGCATGAGATGTCCCAGGATAGCCTCACCCACCCCAGGACGAGCTGCTGAGTGAGGCCGGGGTGTTGATTTGGATCCAGTTTGGTCCTCTCCAAGCTGGTGGCAGGGCCAGCATGATGGGTTTGTGGTGTTGGAGCACACGCTCATCCCCTCCTTGCATCAGGGCCTCCATTCCCATCTACCTCACTTACACAACACCTACCAGAAGGTAACAACCAATACTTCTATGTCATCTTACAATATGGGACAAAACCAGTCTCTCTGAACCACGGAGAGACTTAGAGCTTGAATTGTCCAGAGAAACTACAATCAACCTCAATGCATGATGATAAGTCCTTCATGAAAGCTGAAGGTGGAAAACCAGAATTAATCCACAAAAAATGCCCCTTGCTCTGCCTACAGACACACAGCCAGGTCTCTCTGGGGTTACTGCAACCCAGAAAATCACTTAGCTGGACTGAGAGAAACCCAGACCTGCCACAGACAAGGGGATGCATCAACAATTCGGTTTTGCCAAAGGATTCACACGGGCTTGCAAGAAGCTCTGCTTGATTTTAACCAACGAACTCTGAGCAATCCCTTCTTCATGCACTTGACCCATTTGGGCCAACCTTACCTCCTGGCCATCAGGGCCCCAGGAGCTCTCGGCATGCCGGGCCACCTCGCTGAGGAACCGCAGGAGCCGGTGCAGCGTGTCGCTGTGGCAGGGGGGCAGCAGGAAGAGCAGCAGCTGAAGAGCAGCCAGCTGCGACGGACCCTCCATGGCTAGGCAGAGAGCAGCCCGTTAGTTAGTGCGGTTCCCATCCCACTAGGCACTTCCAGCTGGACAGCCCTCTTTTACATCCATGGGAACGAGCTCTGAGGGAGCCAGACTGGCGTCTTACCCTTCATCCTGTCCATGCGAGGATAAGCACTCAGGCTGCGACATGATTGCATTTGGTATTTTATAGCCCCATAGTCAAAGACTGTCCTTGACCAGAGGGATTATAATCCAAATATCACACACACACACACACAAAAAAAAAAAAAAGCACAAACTACAGCAACTGCACTTGGCAGTGCCAGGCAGCACATCGCTAATCCCACTGCTGTCAAGAAGTTTTGGCAAAGAGTGGTAAGGAAGGATCTAGGAGCCAAACGTTTGAAAAATTGTACATGCTGTGATGTGAATTTTCATGGATTCACCCTACAGTGCACATGCAGTTCAGGGCCATTCAGCCTTTTTTATTAACTGTATCAGCAAGGGAAAAGAAAGTCACCTCACTGCAGTGATAGTGATGCTGAGCTGACAAGGGAGGACAGGGAGACAGCAAACACTCAGCCAGCCAAGGCTCAAGAGAGTGCCTAAAAAAGAAAAAGGAGGATATGATGCAAGAGGGACATTCAAAGCTCTGTGTGATGGATGGCAGGTCAGGAAAGAGCCGTGGATGAGGGACTGCGTTGTCCCATATCCTGCTCTGGTGCTGGATGTGAGGGGAGGCTCCTTAGATCACTTCTATAGGGAGAATTGGCAAGATCTTCTGGTTCAGGTGTGAGGATCACAAACCCAGTGTGAAGATCCGCTCAGATCACACACCCTAGCAGTGAGAAGAAAATGGGCAATGACAGTAAGCGTGCAGTGGAGTATGTAACTAAACTGCAGCCCTGCAACCTGCTGAAAGTCATGTCCACCACACAGCTGGATGGGCTCAAAAAGTTGCTGGGCAAGCAGCTGGAATAGAAATCTACTAATGGCCGTAAAATGTTAACAAGAGTTCAGGCTCCAGTTACTTGGAGACCACTGGAAGGTGGAATATTGGAGAAAACAACACTGTTTGTACACATTCCTCCAAGTAAGAGACCCTGGTTGCTCCTGGAAATGGGATAGCAGTCCAGACCAACTTTGCTCCAGCAACATGTGCCCACCAATGTGTCAAGCCTGGAAGACATGGCTGTAGCCTGTATGCATCCAAAAAATATATATATTTCAGCATTGTGAATATTCTGCAGTTCTGCTTGGCTTTTTGGGAAAATGGCAAAGGCAATCTTTATTAACCTTCTCATCTCCCAGAAATAAAAAAGAGAAACCTATGTTTTAGCCAAAGTAACACCAATTTCCACTGGAGAAGGCATAGAGAAGGCAGTTCCTCTGACAGTTCCTAAGCATTTGCTTTACACTGTGCCCTAAAAGTCCTTAGATGACAAAGGTGCATCATTTATTCTTCTTTGTTGATGTGGAAGCAGAGATTCAAGGATTTGGATTTGGAGAATCTAATCTAAGGAGAGAAGGATAACAAAAGGGAAGCAACGAGATGGTGAAGGAGACCAAGAAAGACTGATGCTGGAAGCTGTGGAGACTGCCTAAAAACTCAGTCACCTGAAATACGGAGGGTAGGGGGACCTGGGCAGAGGATTTGCAAAGACACCCTTACAGGCAGTACAAACTGCTGGGCTGAGCTCCTGCGCAGCACGCTGAATTGTGCTGGGACCTGGTACTGAGCCAGGTAATTGCATGAGAAGAAAATTCCCTTTTTTTCCTTACAAAACCAAACGTGGTGGGTGGACTGTGCAGAGTGAGAAAAACACACCCCAGGTACTCACAGGCTGTGCTGAGGAAGGCTGCATAGAGCTCTCTGGGAATCAGTGAATCCGGCATGTCCCGAAGAAACTCTTTGAGCAGAGCAGCCACATCATGAACGCTTTGATGCTCATCTAAGAAAACATCCAGTCCTTGATCAAATTCCTCCCTCAGCTTAAAGGTGGAGGAAAGGAGAAGAATAAAAGCAACAGTCAGTTCTTCCTCTTTATACAAGTCATGCTGTCAGGATCTGTCCTTGTACAGAGCTACTGCAACACCAGGACAGGAGGGTTGGCTTCTCCCAATGTCCCCCTGATACAGGGCACCCCCAAAAAAAGGCATGCCAGAGACCAACAGCCTGCTGCTGCCCAGAGGATGGAACACAGGACCAGAAGGAATTCCTGGCTGGTGAAGGGAGCCCGGGGGGGGGGGCTCTGAAGTGCCAACCAGGGGATGGAGGCTCATCTGCTAAAGGCAGCTTGGAGACATGAAGCCTGCTCTCCATGACTGGGAGAAGGACCCAGCAGCAGGTTACAGGTTGTCTGTGATCCAGCATGTGCCTGAGATATTTTAGACCTCTCCATGTCAATGTCTGCTTTATTCATTCCCCACCCACACAAGCATCTGTCCTTTGGATGCGGTACTGCTACAAAGGACGGAGTAAATGTCTCACTTTACCTGCTGAACTCTTTTCTTGGAGCTCCCAACACGGAAGATGCCCACAGTTTGGAGACCTGGGAGACAGACAGGTTAGTGCTCTGCATTCCCACAGCCCCCTGCCACCCGACTAGTCCTCGGAGCGCCTTAACACCATGGAAGTGGTTCTCTTGCACTGCACGCGAGGCAGTGCATCCTTCCCCGCTGCTGGCAGAGGGGGTAGAAAGAAAGGTTTTTGGAGCCATAAGATTTTCTGGGGTTGTCTGTGGGTCAGGGAGGAGGTCTCATCTGTACAGTCACTCTGAGCTGGATGCTGGATTTGCAGGGGGAGTTAAGGTCAGAGTGCACCAGGAGATGGGTCACTGATACACACAGTGACATTCACTTCTCAGTGCAGACACTACACCCAGCTCAGAGGGCTCTCCCTGGGTGGCTTTTTGGGAGCATGCCCTGCCCCAGGAATCACCTGCCTCCTCACATCTCGGGGAACAGCCGGGCCAGAATGTCCCAGCCCACCACCCAGGATGGGTTTTACCAACCTACTGTGGGATGGACCATCTGGCTGGAGAGACGTGTGTATTTACCGTGCGTTTCAATGTGTTTGCAACATCTGTCCACAATCCGCGGGACTTGCCGGGTGATGGGGTTGAGGCTCAACATCTTTTTCTTGCCCAGGCTTCTCCGTGGATCCAGCTCATGGGGGTGTGACAACTGCAGTGCCTCCAGCAGCTTGGAAGTGTTGTCACTCAGGTCAGTGATGGAGTCCACGGACATTGCCCCCTGAGGTGGAGCAGAGGTGATTCACAGGGTGGCAGGAACTACCCCACAAGATCCCCATACACCATCACTGCCATGACCTCAGAAGTTTGCAGGAAAGGGAGGCATCACCTCCAAAGGAACATAGAGGTCTACAGAGCCTGGCTGGGGTTGCAAGAGAACCACAGAGAGACTTTTCATCTCCCATGCATTCGTTTATGTGCACTGCTCCTAGTGTGAGGTGTTTCTAAACGCAGCCTTCCTACAGGGGCAGACCCTACACCCCACACAGACATGGGGAAAGAGGAAACATCCCCAAATCTTTCACCTTTCACTGCGTAATATACTGGATTTAGTTACCTGTATTGGAGCCGCTTTACACACGTGGTTACAGGCACTTAGCAAGAGGCAGGCGTGGGACTCTACTCCAAAGAGACAAGGCAAACCAAACCCAGCCTGTTACCCACCTCCCCTCACAGGAAACAACACTAAAGCCAAGAAAGTGGCCAAGGCTGACAGGCCACCCCATCTTCCTTGCCCTTTGATGCAAGGGTAGTCAATACTGCAAGCAGACCAGCTCAGTGGCACAGCTGATGTCCCCACAGCAGCAAGGGAGCCAACATGACCCACCATTGACGGCCACAACTTCTGGTGGGAATTTCACAAGCACGAGGCCCAGTCTCCAAGACGCAATGCAATGGAGGAGAAGAAAAATCCACGTGACTGATGACGAATCACTTCCTATCCCTATCTACCTTTGGCTACCTGGGATGTCCTTCGGGTAACCTTGGCTCCATAAGAGCTAAGCTAGTGTCCCACCCCTCACAGTCCATCTCTTGGGGGAAGTAGGGACATCCCATTTCCCCGAGGACAGACTGGGACCAACCCAGCATGCAGCACGAATAACTCACATTCATTAAGAAAAGACCCTGGGAAACCATATTTATTGCTGAAGTCAGAGCCTCCCCCCCAACCTTCAGCACCATCACAGTGCAGCCCAGTTTTGCAAACGTACCCTTCGCTGGCTCCAGGAGCTGTTGTTGAGAAAAGTTGGAGAAAACGACTCCTCCAGGAAGACCCCGCAGGGTACCAGGCCACAGCTCATGCCCGTCGGGGTCCTCTTCTGCCTCTGAGCCCGAAATCTTGTCACTGTCGCTTCCACCTCCAGGCAGAGCCGGCGGCTCTTTTTCACTTCTTCCTGCAGTTGCTTGTAAGCACGATCATTGGCAATGACTTGGAAGAGTGGGATCCCAAAAGTCTGAGGAGAGCAGTCTAGGGAAAAACATGGGAGAAATGGAGAAGTATCGCTAGCAGGAAAAAAAATGACAGGGAGCTGCACTGGCACAGCCCAGCTGCCAGGGACACACGTGCATGCCTGGATAAAATAATTAACCGACAGAAGGGAATACCAGTAAAGGTAACCACCAGCAGAAGAGTGAAGAGGACAATGTACAAAACTGATTCGATACATGACAAGGAGTTCTGTAGCTTGAATCCTGGATGGCAGTCCTGTAACTATCAGTGCCCTTGCATGCCCTGTCCCCTCCTGCTCCCTGCTCCTCCTCCGGCTCCCCAGGAGCCTGGAATGACTGGGGTGGGTGGGAAGAGCATCCGCAATGACCCTGGGCAAACCCAGAGGGGAGCTGCTGCCCCTGGAAAGCCCCGGGGCATTGCGTGGTGGGACTCAGGGTGCTGGGCAGTCAGGGAGCTGAGCGGGGAGGGCACGGCGTGGGAGATGGCGTGCTGGAGGAGAAGGAAGGAGATGCAGGGGAGCTGGGAGGATGCCAGGAAAACTGGCCTCCATCAATGTGCTTGTTGCAGCCTGTCCCAGTTTTTCCTGAACCTTCCTTCCTTTTATTGTTTACAGACTCATGAAGATGCCATAGCATCTATGAAGTGGAGACTTCATAAATCACCAGAAATATTTGATACAAAAGATTCTTACCAAATTATAACCTCCAGATTTCTACAGGATTTGCATCAGCTGTGTCTGTTCAAGAACAGTCTTGGTATTAATGGCATTTTCCCCAAATAACTTTCCCCCTCCATACCTCCTTGCAGATACAAGGAGAGCTCTCCTTACTTCCAGCCTCCACACCACCCTGGGCCAAGGGGTTTTGCAACTGGAGTACAAGCCACAAATCCATTTAGTAAAATCAGACTGCTGCTCAATGATTTCCTTGAGCGGACTTTGTACTGGTGTGAAGAAAATTAATAAGTGCTCATTCCCAGCTGGCTGTGCTCTACAATTCTGGTTTCCCCAGGTTTGTGGCCAACGTCCTTCAAGGGACAATAAAACAGAACTCGAAGCAGCAGGACCAGGGGTAAAATGGGCAGATAGAAATATTCATATGTGTACATATTTACAAATGCACAGTCATGCCCACACATATTTCATCCACACACATATGCATTCCTTCCAGACCCTCTCATGCTTGTGCACGTGTTGTTACACCCCACTCTGGAGAACAGCAAAACAACATGGGACAAAGCACCTTGCTGAATTTGGGCACCTCCCAGCTCAGCCCCATCAAAAATCACCAATTCTGTTTGAGAGCAGGGACCAAAACCTGGGTAAAAGGGAGGCTGCTCACCTTTCTTCTCCTTTGAAAAGCTCTCCAGTTTCTGGCGGATAGATTTACTGCCCTTAGGTCCAACTACAAGGAGAAAAGAAAGCAAAGGTTCTGCATCATTAGGCTGGTTTAGTACAGTCTCCCCTTAAAGACGTTTGCCTTTCTGCACCCTCGCAGGCAGAGCATGGCCACAGGCACCTCCCACAGGCAGAGGGATGCTGTGGTTCTGACGTGGCCGTGGCCCAGAGAGGATGCATGAGGGCATGTGGGATGGCACGGTGGGCATCGGCTACCTGGGGGCAACAGCCCCAGAGGTGGCCACCATCCTCCCAAAGTGGAGGAAGCGACCCCTCCACACCCAGGCAGCTGGACCCCATGGCACCAAACCATAGTCGTGGGTTAAAAGCACCCCAGCTGTGGGATTCACCCCACCTGGCTCAGACCACAGCCCTACAAACGTCTCTCCATCAGGGTTTACTGATGCCTTACTATCCAGATGTGCAATCCAGCAGTGCACAAAGCTACAGGTCAGGGCATATGAACCATCAGGCAGCCAGAAAAGTAACTGGCCTTCCAGAACAGAGTCAAAATGAACCACAGCTGATCTTTCTGGTGGCATCTGAGCTTCCCGTGCACTGCCAGAGGAAATGCCTGATGCTGCAACAGCTACCAAATGCGGTCTGTGCATGGGATGCGCTGGGAGACTGCGGTGAGTGGCCAAGACCAGCCACCAGCAAATGGGTTCTCACACATGAAAGGGCAGTGGAAAAACTTCAGCTGTCCAAAGGCTGTAGCTTAAAACTGTTCTGGCCACCTTTAAATTCTGCGCCTATGTTATACAGGACTCTGTATTAATGATGATGTCCTAACAATCACTTAATGACTCAGAAAGCTACCCTAAATCATCCTCAGAGGTCTGGTCTTGACACTGGAAAAAGGAATCCAGCCCCAGAAAAGCTTTTATGAATGTTTTACAGAGCATAGACAAATAAAGTTAGACAAAACACATACCGCCAGAAATCCCGTACTGATCCTGGAAAGGCAAGCCCTGCTCCTAAGTATTCCCCACGTTGCACATCCAGGAACAGCAGTCAGCAGCAATGAACTGAAAACTCACTCACTGCCCACCCTAAATCCTTCCAGGACACATCACCCTAATCTGGCTTGTGGTCCTTATTCCTGAGGAATTCTCTTCCTAGAAATAGCTTATATAGTTGTTTGGGTTATTTTGTAACATTTAGAAGAAAGCTATGAAAGTTGGTATGAACAACATGTGCATAAAAGAGTAGCCTACATTAATTATTCTGCAGCACGATATGTGTTGTTTCATTCAAATGACCAGATAGCAGGAAGATGAAGAACAGCCTGGAGACAAAAAGAAAACAGCCAAGGAAACAAAAGGCCAACAGAACTCCAGTTTCAGCATAGAGTTAGGAGGGTTGACACAATGTGCTGAGCCTGAGCATCAGCATAAGTCTCCACTCCTAAACAAACCATGAGGCAGCAGATAGTAAAGAAACCATCAGGATTCCCCTGCCCAGAAAGCCTGAGCTGGTATCTCCATGACAGAGTAACACATATGATCCGCTGCAAAGCTAGGACATGAGGACAACTTCTTTTCACTGAGATGCATTACAGCAAGCTTGATGCTGTGCATCCTTCAGAGATTTAATCTTTCTTGGTCATCTCCTGCCCAAACCACAGACTTGTTCCTGCAGTCTTGGCCAAAATGAGATTTAGTTCCCATGACATGTTTGCTCTGTTGCTCAGGAGGATCACCCTGAGGGAGGCTGTTTGCTGAAAGGTCTGAGATGCTGCAGAAGTTTGTTGGGATTGAATGAGGTAAGGGACTGTCGGAAGGAAAAGAGCAGCCCAGAGGGTATCAAAGCCGAAGGTTGCCCCAAAGGATGGTTCACAAAGGGATGCACACTCCGTGATCTGCATCGTCTAGGTATCTGGAGATATGAGGATTAAAAGAGGTGCTGAACACTTTTTCCTTGAGGAAAATAGTAACAACCGTGCAATGGCTGTTTATTAAAGAAAGCGGGAATTTCACATTGGGTAGATGTTGGGGAGCAAGTACAGACAGGTGGATGGACTCAAATGGAGAACATGCAGCCCAAATTCAGGCATTTCCAAACATTATGAACTTCCCTTTAAAATACTGGGATAGGAAAATGACGTTGCAGGTGCAATAGTTTCATAGCTAATCCTCAGCATCTCGCATTGACTCCCAGCCAACTAACTGCAAAAAAAGCAACTAGCAGGTAGAAATCTAAAGGGTACAAAGATAGACAAAAGGAAGGAGAGATTCCCTGACAGCAACTGCTTCCTTCAAAATGCAGGTGATCATGAGAGTGATGTCCAAAATACACACAAGGATGAGATGAGGACTTTGCAGTCACCTGCACTTATCCCGCAGCAAGGGAGGAGCCCATCGGATGAAATGCAGCATGTTTAACAGCAAGGAAGGAAAGACTTTTTTTTTTTTTTTTTGCACTGCACAGTTCCCTAGAGAAGCTGCTGCTGCAGGGTGTCACTGAAAATGGGGTCACAACAGCTCAAAATAAATAAAATAAATAAATAAAAAAAAAAGAACCAGGATGTTTGTCTGGGGTGGCTGGTGCTGCAGCCCGGGGGCAATGGGAGTTCTGGGAATGAGAGGGGAGCTTTCTTTCTGTTAATCTCCTTGAAGCTATTTCATTGCATGAAATCTTCCAAGCATTAATTAAGACAGGAAACTAAACTCAGATGTCGCCCGAGTAAGTACTTGCTGTCCAGTATGAGGTTGAGGTTGGGCGTTAGGAAATGCTCCTTCCCTGAGACAGAGATGTGCGGGGGCTCCATCCTTGGGAGGTCCCAGCCCCAGCTGCCCTGGGCTGGTGCTGGTGACAGCCCTGCTGCCAGCAGCTGGTGGGGCTGGAGACCCCTGAGCTCCCTTTGCACCCGCACTGCTGGTACCACGCGACCCTAGGGCTGGTGAGCTGTAGGCATCTCCTTCCTTACTGGGATGCCAAAATAAGGCCCAGGGCAGAGGAAGCATTGCAAGCTGGTCTGTCCACTCTTGAGTAACGAGTAAATTGGGGAAGGAGTCAGCTGATGCCCAACTCGCTGTGCTTCCTTGGTTCAGTGTGTAGACATCAGGGGACGCAGGCAGCTATGGGAACCCAGACAATGCCTGTATGTCTATGTAGGCCAGGACAGGGGAGCTCATTCCCTGTGGAGCTTCTATATTTATCTGCCCATTAATTTCAGCAGCACTTCTTGTAATCTTGCATAAGCCCCATCCCAGCATGAGGACTTTGTGCTGGACATTAATCCAAAACCAAAAGCCTGTTCCATCCCAATGGCATTAAGATAGTCCCAGTAGAAGACCTTGCCAAGTCATATTGCATCTGGTTTGGATTAGGGGGATCAGAGGCAGACAACAGGCAAGGTCATATTCTCACACTCCTATGGACACACAAACCCTCCTCGAAAGGCTGATTAGGCCTTCGAGGCTCAGACCAAAACAGGGAACAGCTAATAAAATGGACCAAAATGTGTCACAAATGTCTTTCCATAAACATCATCCCATGTTATGAAGTGTGGGCGTGGGGATGAGTAGCAATGACGGCTCAGACCTCAGCTTCCCCTCAGCAGGGTCCGTCCTCTCCCATCCTCTACCTTTAGCCAGGCTGAGATCTCCAACAAGCAGCTTCTTCTGCAGCTGGTAGAGAGCAATCTCTTGCAGACTGGCTCTTTCCAACTCCGAAAGGCTGTGCAGGGCCACAGGCTGCATTTTGGTGCTTTGTCCTGGCAGAAGAGCTGAGATAAAAGGTCCTCTGAAAAACATATGTATATATAAAAATAGAAGAGTCAGGAGCACATTGCGGAGATGCCTGCTTTAGGAGAGAAGCTGATGAAAATGCCACAGGGTGTCTTTGCAAGTGCAGGAGACACTTGGCCCTCTTTCACCTCTCCAAAGAGCCAGTTGATCTGCAGGTGCCCCAGCCACACCATCTCACTTTGACCTTCCAAGCAAAGGCCTTGGAGGCATCAGGGAATACGTGAGGGAACCCAGCCCTGGCTCTGAAGACCCTACAGGCTCCCTGAGGCACCTCACTGCTTGGCAGAGTAGCCAATTCTAGCTGCCATCTGTTTTCACATGAAGCCCAACACCAAGAGGCTCACATACACAAGACGGGGCACATCCTGGCCAGCCAGAGTAGGGACTGTGGTCCTGATGCTGGGACTTGGCCATTCATCACCATGGGAATATAGTTCCTGGCTGGCATCAGCCTCGAGACCACGCTCCACGTGAGCGGAGTCAGGATGGAGGCAAGTGCAACCATCTCCTTACCAAACCTAGAAGGCACAACGTGTTCCAAAGCGCAACAAAAACTCGTGCGAGGAAACGGCAGTAAGCAGCCCTTCGCCTGCTTGGTCTGACACCTTATCTAACACGCTTCTCCCTTCCCACCGCGGAGCTGCTCAGCAAACAACAAACACGCGGAGCAAGGGGCTCCATCCCAGCGTGTCCTCATGTTGTGCCCACAGACCTAACCCTCAGCTGCAGGTTTTGGCAGCCACGTTGGGACCAACTCTGGATACATTCAGATGCGGACCTTCTTCGCCCTCCTGCCCCGCTAAGAAGTGGCACCTAACAAAAAGCTCCTGGCTGTTGCGGCAGCCTGAGCATTTCCCAGCTCCCTCCAGACACCCGCCTTGCTTTGCCCCTGCCCTCCAACGATCTCCACCAGATCAGGGGGACCCGAACCTTTTGGCATTATGTTAACAGGTCCCAGCAGCCCATCTTCATGCAAACCAGCTGCTCCTGGCCAGCCCCTGACTGCAGCTCAACACAAGCAAAACCATGGGCTCCGGGTGGAAAGGGCTTGGGACGATACCAGCCTCGAACTGCTCTTTGGAGGATGATGTGCGGATATACACCCCTCCTCTCCTTCACCCACACCCCACCACACACTGGGTGCCAAGGTTTAAGGAATAACTGAGGAGCAGTGACCTCCTGAGAGGGCCTGGAATGGCTCAGACTCGGGCTGGTTTACGGCGGCTGTTCAGCCTGGGGACGCCGGGGCTGCACAGACGCTGCTGCTCCCTCTCTCCTCCTACAGCATTGCTCCATCAGGCAGGGAGAGGCTGGACAGATGCTTTCCACTCTGCAGAAAGGCGGGCATAGCAGTTTCCCTCCAGGGTGAGTGAAGACAGCTTTGGGTTTTTGTTTTTTTTAGTCATAAAAAACTTCTGAAACCTAAAAAGCATCACACATCCCACTAAATTAGACTTACAGCCGCCTTTTATTCACAAGCTCTTCTTCCCTGCCTTTTCCCCCCATTTTAAATTGGCTTATTTCTTAATTTAATACTTAATGCTGAGCTTCAACTCTTGTAAATTGGACACTTCCAGCATCGCCGAAGCCTCAACGATGCCTTTACCCCCAGCACTGGCTGGACCTGCAGCCCACAGCCCCGCGCAGGTCACGGCCAAACACCGAACGCCCCGTCCCCTCTCCCGCATCTTTGGGGAGCTCTCCCTGTTTTTTGCAGCCTCCTGGAGAGGCCACGCAGGGATCCACACCGGCTCCCAGCTCCTCGCCCTGCACTAACCTGGGTGTCCCCAGCCTGCCGCAGTCCCGCACCCTGCAACGCCTCTCCGGCACCCAGAGAACCCACAGTCCAAAGAGCAAAAAGCAGCAGTAAGCGGAAGAAAGGACTGAGGTTATCAGCATGTGCACAGAAAAGATGTGGTCAGAGTACAGGCTCCGAAAGGAGCCTTCCCAAAGACAGCTTTAAGGCAATAATGAAAAATAAATGCCTGGAAATCCCCTAAAGCCAGTGATAAGGGTGAGAACACGCAGGACCGTGACGAGGCAGTCGGCGCAGGCTCTCGGATCAGCCTCAGCACAGCGCTGGCTGCCCACCTCCATCCCCTGTGCCCGGGGAAGGCTGTTGTCTGGGGCAGTGTTTATTTTGGCCAGGTTTTCAATTTCTAAAGATATTTAGAAAGTTACATAAATTTAACAAAAAAAACAAACATAAAAGAGTTGTTATGAACTCCCCAGAAGGGCACACCAAAAGGGAATTCAGCTAAAGACAAAGATATTCTTGAAACATTTGACATTTATTACAAAAGCTACGTGCCTCAGCAGGGTCGTGGTGACAAACATGAGATGCAGCATAGCTAAGCCGCCTGGCTCAGCTCAGTATCTCAGGCCAATTAAAACTGGGGTACCTGGGTGCCCATGACTGTCTCATACACTGGACTTGGGCGTAAAACACCCAGGAAAAGCTGGTGCAATCCTACTTACACAGCAGCTAATCCTGCAGACAGCCAGGTGTAGCACTGACCCCCACCTGGAGTTTGGAGCTCAGGGGATGCATTAGCAAAAGAGCCAGAGAGTCACAATACCTGGTTAAATTTAGGGTGAGGCACAGCCCATGGACGCATTCATGCCTTGCTTGAAAAGGGGCTTTTTCATTATTAAATTACTAAACAACATCAGGAACTGTTCTTTAGGCTCTGCAGCTTGCTTTGGCTGCCCCTTAGCTTTCTGCCCCTCCATGTGCTCCCTCCCAAGCTCAGCAATCAGCCTTGAATGCAATACATGGCTTTTTATAACTTTCATCCTGCAGAAAAACACATCTGTGGAAGGGAGGAGGAGCCCTTTAGGAATGTATTTTATTTATGTCTCAATGGGGCTGCATGTAAGAGGTCAGTCTTAAACTAAAATAACTAACTAGTCCTACCAAGCTTTGCAGACAGAGATCCTGGGACATGAGCTCCCCTGGGATAGCCTGGGTGGGAGAAGGGGGCACAGATAAAACGTTGGCTTTGACAGGCAAGAACATCTCCACTTGCCAGCAATAGTTCAGGTGTTTCTGCCACACCAGAAATGAGGGACGAGCAGAAGCAGTGCCTGAGCAGGAACCTCCCGGCAGGACAGGAGAAACTCTGCTGCCAGCGGATGCTGCAGATGGACAGACAAGCCCCTGAGACAGACACACTGAAAGAAATTACTTTTCTGCAGGTGAAGCTCACAGATCCAGGCAGAGCCCACATTCACAGCCCCTGCCCAAGCCAGAGGGATGGTTGGAGCAGAGTCACGGAGGATGCAGCTGCCTTGGGGCAAGGAGGAGGAAACCTGATTAGGAGAGGGAGCAGAGCAGAGGGAAAGCAGGAAGGAGAAGTCAGGGCAAGCTGCTGCTTATCTGGCCCTACTGTAAGCGCTACGAGAATAGCCCTATAAAATGCCACCATCGCCAGCTTTCTGACAAACTCCTGCTTCGACTGTTAACCCCGAAAAACTGGCCTTAATTCTTGCAACAAGCATGTATTCACACTCGTGGGAGGAAGCTAGATGGGGACCACCGCCGACAACTTCAAACTCCCTGAGGTGGGTGATGCCCTGCAGAGCCCCGTATGGCTGCGGGGTGGGCAGGAGTTGGCAGGAGAGCTCGCTCCAGCCTGGGCAGGCACCGGTGCTCCCCACAAGGAGGGAAACGTCAATACGCAGCAGGGGCAAAAGCCAGAGTACCGCAAATCCTCCTTCAGAGGGGGATGTCGTAGAAAAAAAAATCTTATTAAAAAACAGAAATAAAATGCCTTTCACTGGGAGCATTAACAGGGCAATTCCTCTCTGCAATGACTTTCCCTGCTTATTTTTAGGACTAGGGCTTATTTAAGGAAATCTCATGGGAAAAGCTCAGCTCAGCTGCCCCTTCTATTCCTGGGGAGCTGCAATTGCTCCTCCATTTTCAGCAGCAAAGTTACTCTCTCCCCAGCTGCAACAAAGGGCTGACATTTACCTTCCTTGTTTCCTTCTCGCAGCACAAGCAGAGGTAGCCTGGGCTCCCTTCTCTTCCTTCGAGACGATGGTTTTCAAAGCAGTGTCTCCACTGTGTCTCGCGTGGCCCTGTAGAGCGGGCGGGAGAACCTTCTCTGCCTGCTGGCGGGAGGAGAAGTGGAGAAGTGATGGAGAGGAGACACTGCAGCTGAACACGGCCGAGGGGAGGAGAGGGGTGATGAGAATGTGAATTTTCTGCCAAAAGAAATGAAAGCCAGAAACATTGTCGTGTGGAGAGAGGGGGCAGGGTTACATGGGAAGGAACAGCACTTCCCACGCCTGACAGCGTTTGTGCCTTGGCAGGGGATCAATCATTGCTCAATCAATCTATCTCCTCTACCCCCATACTTTCCCCACTTTTATCTATCAGTAACTAGGGCACCTACCAAAGCATGAGCTGTTCCGGCAGATGAAACCTGAAAGAGAAATTTGCTGCCTGGGTGCTGGTTGATGAGGGCCAGTGGATGGTTTTCACCTTGGCTCTCCATGCAGACATCTCAGCTGCTCCATCACAGCAACTTCACAACGACCAAGTCTCCAATGCAGGCAGGCACGGGCAGGCTGGGCCACACACATGGCTGCCCTCTGCACCCAAAATGGGTCTGAGGTACCACAGGGGTCCCCTACCTTTGAAGAGCTCACAGACCTGATGGGGTAGATGTACAGCTAGCATCTTATACAACGTGTCATACATGGGGGGTTGCAGACCCTCCTAAGAGCCTTACAAACCTACAGCAACCCGCAAGACAGGCGTGTTAACACCCAAAATTGGCACCTCACTGCATGTCAACATGCCCATGAGCACCTCAGGCACCGCAGCCCAGCTCTTGGTCCATGACATGGTGATGATAGGGGTGCAGCAGCACGTTCCCTTGGCCACAGCTGGGGAGAAGCTGAGCTGAGGACACGGTTGCAGAGCCCCGGGAAGTCATCCAGTGACTGCTCCGAGGGGATGCATGCAGCTCAGAAGAGAGTGACTGCCAGTGTGAGGTTTAATGAAGGACCATCTCTGCTCCCATGCCCAAAGAGAAGGGAAACATCTGCAGCCCCTGCCTGTGCTCCAGACTTGCCCACCGAGATGCACGCCAGGTCACGGCACTGGGGTGACAAGCCTCATCTAGGACTTGTCTCACTGCTGCTGATGCTAAGAGCTTTCCTCTTAGCAAAGGGTCCTCCAACCCCCCCGAGGACTCAGATGTCCCTCAACAGCTGGAGCTGCTGTCTGGTGCCAGGCAGAGTCCTGAATGAGATGTCCACTCACTGGTGGCCCTCCCATCCCCAGTGGGATTGCTAGCATGAGCTTCCACGTAGCATCACCCGTGAGCGCGAGGCGATTCCTGGCTCCATCCCTCCAGGACATTGCAGTCCCTCACCATGTTCTGCTAGCACTCGGATGCCCTCACCATGACACATCCCACCCCAGGCCCAGCTCTCATAGCTCCAGAACATCTTTCTCCAGGAAGGTCTGGGTTATCCGCAGGCTCCCTTTTAAACTAGACACCTCCCCTTCATTTGGGACCCGACTCTGCCACTGCCTGCTGCCCGAGGCATCTCTGCATCTCCTGACCCAGCAGGCACCGGCTGCCTCCAGCCAACTTGCTTCCCTCCCTGTGGCAGTTGCATTTTGAGAGGCCACAGACAGGCTTGCAGCTTCCTCCAAAACATGCAGCCATTGCACGAGAAGCCCCTTTGCAGGCTGTCGCACCTTTGTGGAGGCTGCCGAGCTCCCGTTTTCTCTGTGCATCACCTCATTGCCCATCTTTGTCACCAAGTATAAACTGGTGTTGCTGTGCTGCACCAGACATCCACCCCAAACACTGCCATAATCAGCAAACTCCATCTGCTTTGAAGAAGGAAGGAGGTGGTCACGGACCTTGAATTCACTGCCTGTTGAGTAAAACATCAGAAGAGGCTGGAGAGGAAGCAGGGAGCGTTTCATAGCTGTTTGTGGCTAATCACTTGCTGGCCCACTATTTATGAACGCTCTTGAAATTTACTACAAGGACAGTGAAGCCCCATGTTGGCAGAGGACTTGGGATGGAGCACCTCTTTTCCCGTAGCAGCAACGTAAGGTAGGTGAGAAAAAGAAAGCAGCAGGGCCAAGATTTGCCCATAAAAAATGTTTATTCCTTAAAAATACAACATTCACCTGCAGTGACACAACTATTCAGAACATTTCTTTAGAAGGGTTTTCATCTGCTTCCAGTGTAGTAAGCCTTCAGCATCAGAAGCAAGAAGAGCAGGCAGCCCCACCTGCGGGCAGCCCGGTCCTGACAGAAAGGTTCCTTTCACCCATTCCTGCTGTCTGCACCCAAGCAAGCTGTGCACGGGGTCTTCGCCCGCCGCTCCAGCTCCAGGAGGCACCCACTCCCAGAGCTCTCTCTAGAGACAGGGAGGGTTTGGTACCTGCAGTGGCATTCCACTTGCCTCCTCACTGTCCAGGGAGCCCATCTGCAGAACGGATTTCTCCTGGTGGCAAAGAGCACACAAGGTTTCAGGGAAACCTCAGTCCCTCTGGAAGGGCCTTGGTAAAGAAAGCCTGGAGAGGGGAAGAAGCAGGATCCAGGACTCATCTGGCCCTTACTTGCTTTTACAGCACAGAGCCATTGCTCTGTAGGTCCCAGCTCCACTCCCTCCCGCTGCCCCACAGAACAACCTGCCTGGTCCACCATGAGACTGCAGAAGACAGCGTGACTCGGCCACGCTGTAGAGGAGTTCCCCCCCAGCCACACCAGCTCACACAAGATGGGTCTCTTGCTGGCCAAGATGGCCTGTCCAAATCACAACTCCCACCCCATACCCTGCAGCCGACACTCTGGAGGACTAGAGCCTAATTAGTCT